CAGGCCATGGTAGCAGCTGATACTTTCCTAAATGGGGACTTGGTGTCCTGCCCAGCTAAGCCTGCGGGTGAAGGCTTTGAAGCGGCAGGTGGATGAAGCAGAAGAGGAAATTGAGCGATTGGACAGCCTGAGAAAGAAGGCCCAGCGTGAGCTGGAGGAGCAGCATGAGGTCAACGAACAGCTCCAGGCCCGGATCAAAACCTTAGAGAAGGACTCCTGGTATGGCTGCTCTCCTGGCCCTGCTCCCTCGAGATAGTGGAGCAGGAAGGGGATGGGCTCTGCTGAGGTGATCTTTTGGGAGAGAAGGAGCTCTCAGGTGGGACCTCTCATTCCTGGCTAGAAGCCCGTATGATGATATGTTAGTATCTCAGCCCCCTTTCTATACCCCGTCTCCCCAAATCTCTGATCAGTGGGGGATCTGGGAAGTAGCGTTAGGTCTTAGAAGAATTGGGAATTTCCTTAGCATGTAAAGCGTGGCTGTTTTACTCTGTCTACCTCCCTCCATTACCAGTATTCTCTCTCTGACTCAGGCGCAAAGCTTCCCGCTCAGCTGCCGAGTCAACCCTCCAACATGAAGGGCTGAGCTCAGATGAGGAATTCGACAATGCCTACGATCCTTCCTCCATTGCATCACTGCTTACGGAGAGTAACCTGCAGACCAGCTCCTGTTAGCTCATGGTCCACAAGGGCCCAGAAGCCACGGCTGGAGGCCTCTCCTAGCCAGCCCTCCTCTGCCCTGCCCAGATTCCTCCTTCCTGTGGGAGACCTGATTGTTCAGACCTGAGACAGGGAGGGGTGTGAGTGATGGCGATAAAAGGGCATCAGTGCTAAGCCAGTAGGCGGACTTTCTTTTTCCTCTGGAGGAGTGGGTCTTTTCAAGCCAACTGCACCCTTCCCTTAAGTGCCGAGTCCTCCCTCTTCTCCCTCACAGCGGAAGGATGATCAGCATCTAGGCTGAGAGAGCAGGACAGGAAGGGAGAGAAATTGCCATGTATGTAAAGCTTTATTTGTTTGCCCTTAACCCTCAGGCTCAGGGAAATAAATACCCTCGGTGATTCTGTCCCTTTGACTCTTGCAACCCGCTTCTCTCCCACCCTGGAACATGGTGAGGGGAACGTAACGGGTGACGGACACGCTGGCGTGGCTCTACCCGCTCCTCGATGCTCCTCTTTGCACAGCCATGGGGCCCATGTGGCAGTCCCCACCCCCCTCCATTCCTGTTTTTTTCCTCTTCCCTAAGCCAGTGGATCCAGGGGACCCTTCCTCCTTTCCTTCCCATCTTTGCCATTCCTACCTTCCTTCTTTCCTCTCAGTGCCTTAGCCACGGCGAGGAGATGAGGATGCTCGTCTTGCCTTTTATACCTGCACATTCATACCTCTCCAAGGACCAGCCTTTCCCTAGCTGGGGCCCTCAGCCTTCCTGCGGCCCCGGTGACTGGTCAACAAAACTACTGGCTTCTCTGCTGCTTAGCCCCTGGGAGAGGGACTTGGTAGCGCCATGATGAGGTGGTGGGGGCTTGGTTCTGCTCAGGGTTTCCATCCTTCCTCCTCTCCTCCTGTGACTATGGATGTGTTTATAAGGCGTTTGCACTTGGGAACCCTGACAACTGTCTACACAAGATGAAAAGCAAAGGTTCCAGTCCCTGTGGCCTTCCTCGTGGCTTCTCTGACCAGATGTGCCCATCCTCAGCGGGGAACCAAGGGAAACTATCTTAGGAGCTTGGACCTGGTACAAGGCTTCCTGTCTAGGGCTAGAGGCTGACTCTTGGTAGAAATGGGAAGAAGCAGTGGAAGAGTTAGTCCTCCTTTGGGTTTTGGGGAGAGCCAAGCCCTCGTGGGGAGGAGGGAAGGGAGATGATTCACCTCTTATTTCCTAAGCAGGCTCTGTAAGAAGGCTGTTCTCACCAATGATTTGTAATTTCATGATTAAAAAAAAAAATTGTCTGCAAATTAGATATTTTCTCCCAAACCAATCCAGCCTTGATTTTTATTTTAAATTAAATATTAAAATGATATATGTATACTGAAATCTGTGGCTTGTTTTCTCATTCTTTTTCCTGGCTTATTTGGAGCTCCGAATTTTATGAAGAAACCATTTTAACTGCACAGCTTAGATGCTGAAGCTGGGATTTTCTTTACCTCACTTTTTATTTTTATTTATTTATTTATTTATTTTTAAGCTGAGCCATCCTGCTACCTATTGGCAGCTTAGCAGCAGCTCAGCTCGGACCGGGCATTTAACCGCTGTTGCTCAGAGCTCAAACTCTTGAGCGAGCTCTTAACCAACTGAGCCACTCGGCCGGCCCTTTTACCTCACTTTTTAGAGGCTCTTTACAACAGGTCAGATGGAACCCAGGGAACTGGGAAGTGTTCATAGCACCTCCATTTTCTCCTAAAGAAGCTTCTGGGAATAGCAAGACCAGTAATGTCTTCTTTGAGGGTGAGAGGAGATGGACCAGAACTGGGTTTTATTCCCTTAGGGTTTAGGGACATCCCCAGCATTCACCTCCCAGGGACAAAGACACCCATCCATTCCTACCTGGCACGGTACCCCATCGCTACCTGGGAGGTAGGGAAGTATCCGTCATCCCTGCCTTGAAGAGAGAGCTAGCTGTTCGTCAGAGCCTATTGCCAGATTCAGGGGCTCCGCTCACTCCAGAGCGGGTCAGACCTCCTCCCTGGCTTCCACGTGGATCATAGCCCAGTGGAGCAACCACCTGCAGAGAGCAGCTGGGCTGGGAAGAGGCTCCAAGGGCCTGCTTGGGCATCCTCGCTTTCGGCCCCGAAAAACGCTACCTGGGTTTGGCAAGCAAATGCTATTGGAGAAGTTGAGGCTCATCCTTTCTCAAGAATACAAATTCCTTTCAAGGACGCGTGTCCCGCCTCCTCCAACCATATAAGGGCAGTTTTGGTATAATAGCTTCTGCAAAACAAGCCCCACCCAGAGCCAAACTGCCTTTGACTTTGGCCTGGGCCTCCTGCCAGGGAAGGGCACCTGCCAGACTGGCTTAGGCCAGTCTGAGTGAGCTGGCCTTTGGTGCCTGCGTTTCTGTGATGGAGGAAAGGTTCACTTAGCTCCACAAAACCTGCAGGCTGGCCTATACATGGGGCGAGGAGTATGTCTGGAAGGTCTTTTCCAACTCATCCTCTAGGGGAGGCAGGGTGATTCTCGCTTACTAAGACTGATCTTGGGGTTGAAAGGGGACAGCAAGATTAATGAAGAATGTTTGAGGAACAACCACGTAAGCTACAAAAAACTTCGGTTAAGTAGCTCCTAAGCCCCACCTTATGTAAATCTGAGCTACAGCGGATGGGCGTGCCCTGAAAGTCTTAGGCCACGCCCTCCACGCTCTTTCGCAGGTTGGTGAATGACGCTTTGGGGGCGTGCCCTATCCCTAGTCCCCGCCCCCTGACGCGCCTATACAGGGGGCGGTTCCGCGCGCGCCCGCCTAGAAGGAGCCGGACCGCGGGGCTGGGGGCAGCTAGCTGTGCTGCGACGCCCGCGGGAAGATGAACGGGACGCGGAACTGGTGTACCCTGGTGGATGTGCACCCGGAGGGGCAGACCGCGGTAAGTAAAAGCGGCCTTACTGCCTCCCCAGCTCGGTGTTCTCGGTTTCCAATTCTGGCGCTCCCGCGCCCCGCGGCGAGTTCGCTGACATCACCTGGTGCTGCGCTCGGTGCGGTCAGCTCCTCTCCACGTTTCTCATTCTGTCTTCTCCCGCCCCGCGGCGGCCAGTGGGATCCTTGGGAAGTCGCGGATGGAGACTCTTCCGAGGCTTGAGGGCTCCGGGCGTCTCTGCCCTTTGGGAGGACGCTGCGGCTCCTGCCCGGGACTTGGCGCGTGTCTCCGGTGCGCGCTACTCTGGCGTCCTGTGGGCGGTAGATTAGGTAGTAGGAGAATGAGCTGAAGGGGACGGGATCCCTACGCTCTTAGAACTCTGGGTCCCGACGAGGGGAATTAGGCTTTTCTGTGGGTCCTGGTGACCTCGGAGGCCCTTCAAAGAACTTCATGATGCTTTGGGTGATCAGTAACAAGACAAAGCGCAGAGAGTGACATCCTAGGGCTTGGACTGCAGGGTGGGGGCTGTAGGACCCCAAATACGCCGAGCTTGGCCGGGAACGCTCTCGCTCGGAGGCATAGGGCTGTCCGCTTGGGGGTCACCTCTCTGCTCAAATTTCTCCTCCTTCCCCCTTGCATTTCTGCTGCTCCCGTCCCCCTGTCGGTCAACCGATAGCTTCCTGGGACGGTTTGTAGGTTTTGCTTCCGTCGTCATCATCCAAGCCCAGGGCAAGGAGATGCCAGAACCTGGGCTGAACAGGGAAGGGAAGTGACCCACGCGAGGGTTTCTGGACCGAGTGAGGGTCGGGGAGAGAGGGGCGCTCTCCAGTGCTAACCGATCTGCTCAGTCCCTGGCTGCCTGTCTCTCTTCTCCCCTCCCCAGCTGACCATATGGTTTTTCCTCTGGCGAGGCAGAGGAGGGTAACTTGTGGCTGATTGTTTCCAGGCACTGCTGGGGAACTTAACCCAGAGTAGGTGTGTACTATTTCATCGATTTCCAAGCTATTGTGGGTGAGAATAGAATGCAAGCCAACGTGATGGGGAGTTTGTATCTCTTCCTCCCCCCCTCCCCCCTGTATCTGATTCCCTTCCCCTCTTCCTGTCTCAGCATGCCCCTGAGGGTAGCTAACCTACCTACACCTGGATTGTCTCTTCTTCAAAGAACATTTATAGAATAGTGGCTCATTTGAAGTTTAGGGTACAGATGATCACTTAATTCTGTTCGTAGTCCCCTCTCCATTTCTGCCCAGGCTGTGTTTCTATCACCTTACAATACAATCCCAGCCCCCCAATTCTTGGTCTTCTGTAGCCTGCGACTTCTCCAGCTATGGGATGCTGTAGAGACGGAAAAAAATCCATCCCCTCATGGGTCAGCCCCAAGTCCTACTCCATGCTCTTGTCCACTGTTTTGGAATGTTTGAAGCAGAGCAATGGATATGAGGAAAATAGAGGAGGGGGTGTTTGGACTTCTTTTTGCTTGCTGCAGAACAGAGAAAGGTCTTAAGGCATTGGCAGTGTTGAGAATGAGTTGACACTCTTCTGTCTCTTGATGTCTTGCTGCTTGTCTGGTGGGGCAGAAAGAATCAGTAGGAAAATTGTGAGCAAGTAATTCAGGCAATCTCCAGCCATAGATCAGTTTGAAGCTAATCAGAGACTTCTAGAACAAGGGGGAGACAGACATTCCCTTTTATTCCTTCTTTCTAGGCTGGACTGGAGAGTTATTTTACTTCAAAGCTGGGAATGAAATAATCATTGCCCAGATCTGATCTTGGAGACATTCCTGAGCTCTTAAGCAGGGGAAGAGATAATAAACAATCAATCAGTCAGGAGACAGGCTTTGTCCTGGATTCCTCTCCTCTGAGCCAGCTGCAGATAGAATTTATAGCTCTGGACAGTCCCTAGGAACTGTCAGGTATTCACATCAGTGAGTGAGTGGTCAGTGCATGAGCAAAGTGAGTGAGTAAATGAATAGATGTTTCTTCTGTGTCAGCAACGTAGGTAGTTTAACCGACTGGTATGTCCTAGTGGGAGGCAGGACCCTGGAACACTTGGGGTGCTTCCCCACCACCCAGGCCTTGTGCCTGAGTGCACCACACATGGACATGGCACTATAGGTTGTCCTTTTGGAGGCAGATGGAGCAGAAGGAGCCAGTGTGTTGCAAACTGCAGACCATAACCACCGGTGGCTCTGAGACCCACTTAGTGGGTTAGAACCAGTATTAGAAAAGAAATAGATTCCAACTCTGTGACATTCTGGAAAAGGTAAAACTATCGAGACAATAAAAAGGTTGGTGGTTGCCAGGAGTTTTGGGGTAAGGGAGATGAATGGATAGTGCACAGGATTTTTTTAGGCAGTGAAAATGCTCTGTATGATATAATGATGGATATATGTCTTTATACTTTTGTCAAAACTCATAGAAGGCACACCACCATTCACTTCATTAGAGTGAACCCTAAGGTTGTATTATCAACTTTGGGTGATTCTGATATGTCACTGTAGGTTCATCCTTGGTAAAAAATGTACCGTTCTGGTAAATGATGTTGATAATGTGGGAGTCTATGCATGTGTGGGGACACGGGGTACATGGAAAATATGTGTACCTTCCCACTGATTTTGTTGTAAACCCTAAAACTGCTGTAAAAAATAGTCTTAAAAAAAGAGATAGAATGAACATTCTCAGTGTTAGCGTAGATAGTTTAGGCAAAAATTTTGTTTCAATTATATATATTATATGTATACATAGTGTGTGTGTGTGTGTGTGTGTGTGTGTGTGTGTGTGTGTGTGTGTGTGTGTTAGATCGTGATGTAAAATTTTTTTTAGGTCAAAAAGTTTGCAAGCAGGGCCGGCCGAGTGGTGCGATAGTTAAGAACTGGCTTGGGACGCCAGAGGGCCCCAGTTCGGATCCCACATATGAGGGCCAGTGACACTGC